GTACACTTTAACAGCATCATCTTTTAGAATTTGAAATAGTTCAACTGAAATTCCATCACCTCCACTAGCTTTGTTCATAGTGATGTTTCCTAAAGCTCACTTAATTTCGCATCCCAGGATGTCTGGCTCTAGGTGAGTGATCACACCATCGTAATTACCTGCGTTGTGAAGGTCTTTTTTGTACAGTTCTGTGTATTTTTGCCACTTCTTCTTAATATCTTGTTTCTGTTAGGTCCATAACATATCTGTCCTTTATTGAGCCCATCTTTGCATGAAACGTTCACGTTATATCTCTAATTTTCTTGAAGAAATATCTAGTTTTCCCCATTATATTGTTTTTCTCTATTTCTTTGCACTGATCACTGAGGAAGGCTTTCCTGTCTCTCCTTGCTATTCTTTGGAACTCTGCATTCAAATGGGTATACCTTTTCTTTTTGCCTTTGCTTTTTCCTTCTCTTCTTTTCACAACTATTTGTAAGATTTCCTCAGACAGCCATTTTGATTTTTGCATTTATTTTTCTTTTTCTATTACCTTGCAAAAAGAGATCCTATATCAAATTATAGCAAATTTCAGGTATGCATATTTTGTAAGTTTTGTGATTGACTTTGTTTCATAATTTTAGTATTGTATTTTGGAGAGTCTAACCACTACTCTAAACTTTTCTTTTTTAAAATCACTTTATGTGTGTTAATTGGAGGCTAATTACTTTAAAATATTGTAATTTTTTAAATATTGTAATGTTTTTTGCCAAACATTGGCATGAGTCAGCCATGCATGTACATATGTCCTTCATCCTGAAACCCCTTCCAGCTCCCTCTTCACCCCACCCCTCACGGCCGACCCAGTGCAATGGCCCTGAGCAACCTGTCTCATGCATTGAAACTGAACTGGTGATCTATTTCCATATGGTTATATACATGTTCAATGCTAGTCTCTCAAATCATCCCACCTCGCCTTCTCCCACAGAGTCCAAAAGTCTGTTTTTATCTTTGCTGTCTCATATGTAGGGTTATTGTTACCATCTTTTGAAATTTCATATATATGCATTAATATACTGCATTGGTATTTTTCTTTCTGATTTACTTCACTCTGTGTAATAGGCTCCGTTTCAACCAGCTCATTAGAGCTGATTCAAATACATTCTTTTTAATAGCTGAGTAATATCTCATGGTGTAAATGTAGCACAGCTTTCTTATCCATTCCTTTGCCAAAGGACATCCATGATACTTTCATGTCCTAGCTATTGTAAAGAGTTAGTGTTATGACGAACAATGGGGTACATGTATCTCTTTCAATTCTGGTTTCCTCAGTGAGTATGCCCTACAGTGGGACTGCTTGTTCATATGGCAGTTCTATTTCCAGGGTTTTTTTTTTTTTTTTAAGGAATATCCACACTGTTCTCCATAGTGATTATACTAGTTTGCATTCCAAAGAACAGTGTAAGAGGGTTCCCTTTTCTCTGAACCCTCTTCAGCATTTATTGTTTGTACGATTTTTGACAGCAGCCATTCTGAACATCGTGTGGTTTTGATTTGCGTTTCTTTGATAGTGAGTGATGTGGAGTATGTTTTCATCTATTTGTTTGCCACCTGTACGTCTTCTTTGGAGAAATGTCTGTTTAGTTCTTTGGCCCATTTTTTAATTGGGTTATTTATTTTTCTGGTATTGAGCTGCTTATATATTTTTGAGATTCTTTGCCAGTTACTTTGTTTGCTATCATTTTCTCCCATTCTGAAGGCTGTATGTTCGCCTTGCTTACAGTTTCCTTCGTTGTGCAGAGTCTTTTAAGTTTGATTAGGTCTCATTTGTTTATTTTTGCTCCTATTTTCTTTACTCTGGCAGGTGGGTCAAAGAGGATCCTACTGTGATTTGTGTGGGGAAGTGTTTTGTCTGTGTTTTCCTTTAGGAGTTTTATAATTTCTGGCCTTACATTTGGATCTTTAATCCATTTTGAGTTTATTTCTGTTTATGGTGTTATAAAGTGTTCTAGTTTCCTTCTTTTACATGTGGTTGACCAGTTTCCCCAGCACCACTTGTTAAATAGATTGTTTCTCTATTGTATATTTTCTCCTCCTGTGTCAAAAATAAGGTGTCCATAGGTTCATGAATTTATCTCTGACCTTTCTGTTTTGTTCCATTCATCTATATTTCTGTCTTTGTGCCAGTACTATACTGTTCTGATGACTGTACCTTTGCAGTACAGTCTGAAGTCAGGCAGGTTGACTCCTATAGTTTCATTCTTCTTTCTCCAGATTGCTTTGGCTATTCAAGGTTTTTTGTATTTCCATCCAAATTGTGAAGTTATTTGTTCTTGTTCTGTGAAAAATACCTTTGGTAGCTAGACAGTTACTTTAAACACTATAAATTACTTTAATTTACTTTAAATTAATTACTTTAATTACTGTAAATGGGTTAAATGTTAACAGACACAGACAGGCTGAATGGATACAAAAACAAGGCCCATATACATACTGTCTACCAGAAACCCACTTCATATGTAAAGCACATATAAAGTCTTTATCAAGATTAAGACATAAAATGTGCATTTATTTATGTTTAAATCACTGAAACAAAATATTCATTGCAAGGTACATACATTTTTATCTTGAAAAGTACAAAATCTTAAGTTGAAACATAAAGTATTTTAATTTAATTGTCACTTATTTTGAAAATATGGACCAAACAAAATAAAATTATATTAATTAGGGCTGCTTAAACTCTAACTTTCACAGTTTTTTTTTTCTTACATTTTTACAGTTATTATTATTTCCTTTAATTTATGAATGTAATTAGAAAGTTGTTCTATTGAGTGGGTGTTAAAAATTACTCTTTTCTTTTGTGTGGAACACACTGTTTAACACAACTGTTGGGAGAAGTTTATTGCCTGAAACCTTTTATAATTCAGCTCAAGTGTTCTAGGTGTTTTATAATTCAGCTATGCTGTCTAGGCTTCTTGTGTTGCTTTGTTTACGCTGAGGCTTTTCTGATCTGTTTTAAATATGTTAAGAGTTTATGTTAGGAATAATTGTCTGTTGCTGTTTACTTGCTCAGTAGTATCCAAATCTTTGTAATCCTATGGAGAGTAAGGCAACCAGGCTCCTCTGTCCGTGGGGATTCTCCAGGCAAGATCACTGGAGTGAGTTGCCATGCACTCTTCCAGGGGATTTTCTCAATCCAGGAATAGGTAGTAGATTTTATCAAATTATTGTTTCAGCATTTGTTGAGATGACCCTATTGTGTTTCATTTTTAGTTCTTTGGTAAGATGAATTACATCAATGGGTTTACAAAGGTTTAACCAATGTTTCATTCTTAGGGAGACAAAAATCAATAGATTATGCTATGCATATTTTTATATGTGTGTGTGTGTGTGTGTGTGTGTGTGTGTATTCTGTGCACTTTCTATTGCTTCTTCTTCAAGTGATCAATTTTCTCCTGCTGAATTTTCTAATATGTCATTTGTTCTACCCACTGTGTTTGTCACCTGACACTATAATTTTCATATCTACCAGATGAAATTGGGTCTGTTTGATGGGCTCCATCTCGATACTTAATTTTACAACATACAAAGCACCACTGTTATTCCAAGTATTTTAGTGTCTGCAGTTTCTAAAATCTGTGCCACTTCTGGGTCAGTGTGATTTCTCAAGGGACTTTTAATAGATTTTTCTTACCTTAGTGAGATTACTTAAAAAATATATATATATGGTTAGGGGCTAATTCCATACCTTTCTTGTGCATTGGCTGCTCATGTCTTTTACACATGTCATAATAAAGTTAAAGGCCAGTGCTACATTTTTCTCTCTGTACAGTATCTGAAACTTTTTCACTACTCATTACTATAAGCTTTTGTATTGCTAATAATACACTGGGCTTCCCAAGTGACACAGTGGTAAAGAATCTGCCTGCAAAGGCAGAAGCCAAAGGAGATGCGAGCTGGAAAGATCCCCTCAATGAGCAAATGATAATTCACTCCAGAATTCTTGCCTGAAAAATACCATAATTTCACATCATATTGATTTTATTTTATTTTCATTATTAATGTTGCTGTTTGTATAAGATTCAACATCTTTTCTGTTGGCCATTTGTCAGAGGCGAGACCTCTGAAGATTTCTGAGGTCTCTAACCAGACTCGGAAGTCACTGGCTGTCCACCAGTGCAGCTGGAATGGGAAGGGTCTCCACGAACTCTGGGACCTCCTCCAGTTAGTTCTGATTCAGCTCTTCACTCACCTTGGAACACTGGCTATGAAGCTTTGAGTCTCTGATTTTCTTCAGTTTCTCTGAGGTGACAGCTTTTTTTAAGAAGCTTTCTTGATCAGCTTTGCCTGCACGTGCTTATTCACTCTCACGGTTACCTTGGCTACCTGGAGAAAACGAGAGGGAGCACAGAATGGAATTGATTTAGGGAAGAGTGTGAAGATGATTGGAATTGATGGCTTTGGGAGAAGGGGTGTGGGCAGAGATGTGGTATTTACCAGGAAAAGACAGGGGAAGCGGTCTTATGGGTTAGTGTCACCGTGCAAGAAGAGCCTGGGTGGGTTTAGCTCACCTTGACACTTCTTTTGGGCTTCAGTTGACAGAAGAACTTCATCTTTTAGTTCTTGGTCTATGGAGTCAGGTGTTCCATAACTGCGCTAGAGCCATGTGGCTCCCATCACCTTTGTCGTTTTGAAGACTCCCACTGGTCTGCTCCAGAGTGCCGGAGCACCCATATGTATAGAGCCCTCGCAAGGGGGCCATACCCTTATGCTTTATGAGGTCAGGGAGTCACATCCCTAGCCAATGGTGGGCCAGTGTGAGCCTTGACATTGCAAAGTCCCATCCTGGCAGCTCTAGGGGAGGATAAGTAAATCAGATATTTTGATGGGAAAATTGACATTTTTAATGTTCCTGTAGAGCCTTCCAAACTCACCTGCCATCCTCAACTCTCTAAGTCAACTCAGATGCGTCACATGGCAGGAAGAGTGTGTCTCTTCCAAACCTTGCCTCTCAGCCACACTATTTGGGGTCTCATTCTGTTCTCACATGTCACCCATTATGTAGTTTTTAATATCTTGCTTAAAGTCCCTCCATGATAATTAGGCTTTGGAAGTGAGAATCATTTCAGTTATCTCCTACAAGTGGTCTCAAAGCACCCTGAAGACCATTCAACTCTGGGCCACCTACCAGAAACCTTTTCCATCCCACCTCTTCTTCTCAGTGTTCACATAGCTCTACTCAGTTTATTAGTTTCAAGTCTGAAATCGCTGTCTTCAGGCTGTGAAAATGCACTGAATACACTTGGTCTTACTCCACTTGGAACTGTCTTATTTCAAGTCTAGGACTCATGGTCACCTCATTATGTGTACTACCAAGGCATGTGTTTTAACTGGTGATGGGAATGAAGCACATAAATGCATGCTTCAGGTTTTTCTCAGTAATAAATTGCAGGAAATGACCACCTGCTACTGATTATTATTCACAGGAAAGCATGGAGCTTACCCAGAGCTGTGTGAGCCTTGTGTGCAAAGGTCTTCTCAACATATACCTACACAAATTTCTTTTCTTATCTTGTTTTCCTGCTGGAACCTCCACTGGAGCTAACATAACAGTCAAGAACATGTTGGAATTCATTTATATGAATAGCTTCCACAAGCTTCCAGATTCTTGGGGGAAACACTGAGTAATAATGCCCTGCCATTCAAGTTGTTGGCTCTGGAGGAAAGGAGAATGAGTTGTGGGCTTCACTGCAGTCCTTGTGTTCCTAATGGAGTAGCAGGGTCAGCCAGGCTGAGGTGTGCCCCTGGGGACACAGTTTGTTGTCTTAGTGAGGCTTCCCTCATTTTTCTTGAAGTGCTCACATCCTGGTGTATGCTGGTTGCTTATTCAGCCAGGATGCATCACATTGCTTAAAATTTTAAGAGGTAGAACAAAGCACACCATAAACAAACCCAAAAGATTACTCTTAAAGTTTTTAGAAGAAATAACCTAAAACATGATAGAAAAATGTGAAAAGGCCATGAGCAGTTTCTAAAAGATGTAGCACTGGACTTTAACTTTATTAAGAGATGTTTAAAAGACATGAGCAGTCAATTCACAAGAAAGCCAATTCACAGTTCACATGGAACCAGCCCCTAGCCACATTAAAAAGATATTTAATTTCACTAAGGTAAAAAAAAAAAACAAAAACATATTAAACTTCCCTTGAGAAATCAAACTGACCAGAAATGACATAGATTTAAGAAGTTGCAGAAACATTAAAATATTTGGAATATTTTATGTTTCCAAATTAGTTAGAGAAATGGAAACCATAAAATAAACCCAATTTCATCTGGTAAATAAGAAAAATATAGTGTCAGATGACAAACACAGTGGATAGAACAAATGACAGACTAGACAAGATAGCAGGAGAAAATTGTTCACCAGAAGAGTTAGCAATGGAAAGTGCACAGACTACACCAATATATACAATGTTCACACAGCATAATCTAATGATTTTTGCCCCCCTATGAAACTTTAACCCCCCTTTGGTTAAACTTTTGACCATTAGTATAATCAACTTACTAAAGAACTAAAAGTGAAATAGCAGGGCCATCTCAATAAATGCTGAAAAATAATTTGATAAAAACTAATATTTATTCCTGAGTTGGGAAGGTCCCCTGGAGAAGTGATAGCCTAACCACTTCAGTAATTTTAGGCTTCCCTGATGGCTCAGCTGGTTAACAGTCAGCCTGGCAAATAGGACACCTGGGTTATACTCCTGGGTTGGGAAGTTCTCCTAGAGGAGGGCATGACAATCCACTCCAGTATTCCTGACTGCACAATCCCCAAGGCCAGAGGAGCCTGGTTGGATTACACTCCGTGGGGTTGCAAATAGTTCAACACAATTGAGTGACTGAGCTCATTCTCTATAAAATCTTTTAGCAATCTAGAAATTGAAAAACTTCCTCAACTCATGAAGGTAATAAACTCTATAACTAATATCATGCTTTGTGGTAGAATAATGAGTGTTTTACTTTTAAGATCAGAGTCAAAAATTTGTTAGCACATTATATTGAATTTCTGTCCATGAAGTCATATTAAAAAATGATTCAGAAATTATCCAGTTTGGAAAAGAAGAATTAAACATTTTAGTTGTAGTGACATGTATGTAAAATAGCCAGTGAAATCTATGGCAACAATAGAATAACTAAAATTAAGAATTATTTTAAACAGTCTTGCAAGATATACAGATGATACATAAAATTTAATTAATTGCTTTTCTATATACTAGGACACATAATTGAAAATTAATACAAAATAAAAACTAACATTGAAGTATGAAAAACTTAAGAATCTGACAAAATACATGAAAGGCACCAATGAAAAAAAAGACAAAGGTTTGAACAGGAAATTCACTGAATAAAGATATACAGATGACAACTAAACACGCAGAGGACACAAAAATGATGACTCTTGTAAGAGAACAGAAAAGGACAAGTGTGATGACGATGTGAAATGGGAATCTTCTATAGGAACAAAAGATGGCACAGCCATGGTGAAAAACAGTTTGGAAGTTCCTTAAAAAGTTAAATATTGGGTTCCCATACTACTCAGCATTTCCATTCCTAGGTTGATACCAATAAATATGAAAAAAAAATGTTAACCCAAAGAGCTGCAGATGAACGTTCATAGCAGTCTTATTTCTAATAGTCAAAAAGTTGAAATAAACAGGATGTCAGAAGAAAAGCAGGCCAGGGAATACATCTCTCTCCAGGGAAACATCAGTAATACACCTTCAGGCACAGATGTGCTTGCAAAACTCCAGCTGAGAGCAGACTGGAGTGACTGACCAGTGGAAAAGAATATATAGAACAACATAACTCAGTAGAATGAAGGAACTGGGGGACAACCAGGTGTGTTATCAGGACTGGACCTGCCCTCCGTGGGTGGCAGAACTGAAGTAGATGTCCAGTCCCTACATCGGAGTAATTATCTGGATCAGAGGAGAAACATTTAAGGCTGAGTGAAACATTAGGCTGAGTGAAACATTAGGCTGATCTTTGGCAGCCTAAATGGATTGAGAATCAGACAGTCTTCATTGTAGCCATACACAACCCTGACAGGGACACAGGTCCCGTAGAAGGCACAGCAGCTGGGAGCTGGAGTTGAGTGATTGTGGAGCAGTCCCAGGATGAGGGCTACTGTTGAGTGTGAAGAGATGGATTGATGGATGTGTGGGGAGAAGATCGGGGTGGGAAATGCCTGTGGGGGAACTCCAGGCACCATGGAAGCAAGGCGATACTCCTAAGTCAGTTATATGGAGTGGAGCCATCACCATAGCCTCTCTCTCCCCACCCATCAGCATTGGCAGCTGAACAATAGAAATGCTGGCCCTTCAAATGTTTGACTCTGAACTACAGAGTAGGACCCCACACAGAAAGCCCCTTTAAGTGCCTGACAAGCAGATCTACAGAGTAGGACCCTAGTCAAGGGGGGGGGGGATGGTCTCTTTCTATGTGCTTGATGTGCAGAACAAGAGAGAATATCCCAGGTGATGGACAGGGAGGCCTGGTGTGCTGTGGTCCATGGGGTCACAAAGAGTCAGACATGACTGAGTGACTAAACTGAGCTGAACTGAACTGAACCCCAAGCAAGGGAGCCTGCTAAATGCATGAAAGAGTGAAGCTATGAAGAAAGACTGGCCAAAGAGGCATCTTGATCGCCAGGTACAAGAGGCTGGAAAAAAGATGCTGATAGGGCCATAACTCCTGAGGTAGACACAACCCGTGTCCCTGCATGCTTGATGCCACCAGGGTCCCTGCAAGCCAAGAAGCTGTGACACCTTCATGCTCAACTCTCACTAGGGCAGAGCTACCACAGGCAAAAAAAAAAAATTGGTCTTACATCTATGTGTGCAGGGTCACTTTGGTAGTTTCCAACTCTTTGCGACCCTCTAGACTGTGACCTGTTGGAGAGTGAGGTTCTCCCAGCAAGAATACTGGAGTGTATTGGCCAATAATGGTACAATACCCTTCTAGGACACTATATTTCCTGCTGCCCTAGCCGCCAGTTGACCTGAGTACCCGGTGCTACCAGAACCCGTGGCACCCAAGCAGCTGAACTTCGACATCTGCCCTCACTGAACTACATGAAGTGGAAATTGAAACCCAGGAGCAGTGTAACTAAGACCCAAAACATTCCTACCACCTGTACAAGCTGCAGATTAAATCCAGACGATCAACTAGGCAGACTCTGTGTCTGTGGAATATATAAAAGGACATTGAGAGTTCCCACAATAGAAAACGCACTGGTTCTGATAGCTGTGGACTTTAGAGGCAAGAACACATAGGAGTAGGGCCAGATTAGAAACTGAGGTGCACCCAAATCAGGTGCAGAGATCATCACAGTATTGCAGGCCATTCTAGGGAGGTGAGGTGGACTTTCCCAGCAAGGGAAAGTACTGATAGCAATGACTCAAGAAAAACATGTGTTATTCTTAAGTTATGATGTGTTCAGTAGATTATTTTGAATTTCTTTTTCTTTTTCTTTCCTTTTCTCCCCATCTTTTGTAGTTGTCAATTTTATTGGCACTATAAAATCTAACTAAGTTTTGAGGTCTTTGAGTTTTTTTTTCCCTCAGTCACATTTTGTATTGCTGTTATAAACCTCTGCTTCTAGGTTATGCTTTTTCAGTTCTGTGGGGTTTTCCTTTTTTATGTTTTCCTCATTTTTAATTTTAATTTTTTAAACCTATTATTACTTCTCTACATTTATTCCTTTGTTTACTTTTTCTACTGTTCTTTTCCCCTTGAAGTTAATGTTTAATGTATATAAATCTTCTTTTTGTACCTCTCTTTATATATCTATTTTTTTTTCTTTCTTTTCTCTCAACATATATGTTAGGTTTATTTTCATTACTCTATTCCCTAATTGGCACCTTGCTCTAGTTTTGCTTTCCACTTTGTGCTTCAGTTAGTTTTCTTCTGGTAGATATAATTTTTGGTTTCCTTTGTTCACCAGGTCAATCTATTGTACTTTATTTTTGTTAGACTCT